GTCTGTTAATTGGATCATTCTGTTCTTGGTTGAAGGGTGAATGGTAATCAGAAAACCAGGATATCACTCCTCCCTGTCTTTAAACAGCACAATTAAGTATTAACATTCACTGAACTTGTGGACTCTTTAAATACTCATGCCCTATCAATAACCTATTTACTGGATTTTATACAAGCTGTTTGTTGTGTTTTACGATTCAGTGAAATAAACCAGGGAAACAAAAGAGAGGTATACTTTTAAAATGTTCCAAGCATACAAAAATGTGATAAATATCATGAAACATTCCTCCATTTGGAGAGCTGTCTCTTTTTTCGCTTTGCTATTGAGTTGCAAACCCAACAAGTGGTCAAATTCCTCAAACTAGAGCTAAGTCATTCAGGAGGGAAAATGAGGAAGCACTTTTCACAGCAAAGGAGATAGAATTCTGAATGAACTCCCCACAAATGCAGTGGGTGCTAGGGATCGAGTGAACATCTCAAAGCGGAGGTGGATAGACTTTTGTCTGATAATGATTTTCTAAGTACAAGGAGCAATTGCGGGTAAATGCCATTGATGTGTTGAGTAGCAATGATCAAATTGAATGAGGAGGCACCATCACTGAAATTAGTAATCCAGAGCTCCAGGTAAATGTTCTGGGAACATGGGCTTGAATCTCACCATTATAGATGGTGATATTTAAATTTTTTAAAAATTGATTTTTTTTTTACAAAAACTAGCCTAATGGGGAGCAGGTAGCTATGGTCAATTGTCATATAAAAATATTTGGTTCACTAATGCCTTTTACAGAAGGAAATCTGCCATACTTACCTGGTCTGTCCTATATGTGACTCCAGACCCATGGCAATGTGGTTCACTCTTAACTGCCCTCTGAGCAATTAGTGATGGGCAATAAATGCAGCATATTTAAATACTGAATTAGAATTAGAATTAGCTTTATTGTCACAAGATTAGGGGACGGATTTTTAAAGTGAGAGGAGTGAGATTTAAAAAAGGCATGAGGGGCAATTTTTTTTACACAGAGGGTGGTTCGCATGTGGAATGAACATCCTAAGGAAGTGGTGGATGCGGGCAAAGTTACAACCTTTAAAAGACATATGGATAAGTACATGAATGGGAAATGTTTGGAGGGATATGGGCCAGGAGCAGGCAAGTGGGACTAGTTTAGTTTGGGATTATGTTTGACATGGACTGGTTGGACCAAAGGCTCTGTTTCCGTACTGTATGACTCTACATACTCAAGTACAGTAGAAAGTTTACAAGTCACCACTTAAGGCGCAATCTTAGGTCGAATTAGAATTAGGTTTCATTGTAACGTGTTCTCAAGTACAGGAGTACAGTGAAAGGTTACAATGTTGCCTCAAATGGTGCCATCTTAGGTTCAAAATATCTAGGTATAAATCTTAGATACAAAAAGAAAAATAAACAAAAAACAGTTACATTACCTTACAGAGATTCATAGAATAAGTTAGAAATAAGACATAAGTTAAAAGGATAAACATTACAGTCAGATAGTAGGACAGTGGGTACAAAAATACCTAGGTACAGATTCTTAAATACAAATTCTTGCGGGGGGGGGGGTGGTGGAATTAGAAAAATAAAGAAACGATGAAGGCCACATCCTGTGAATGAATAAAAAATACATTGAATGTTCGAGCAGAGTTGAATGGTCACCTCTTGCTCTCTGTAGTTGTGTGACACGGACAATTTGCAGTTGCAGGCATTAATCGTCTGGGTTTTCTCTCTCTCTCTCTCTCTGCATCACTGCAGCCGCTCCAGCCTGAATGACAAATCGGAGGAGGGTCTGCGAGTCAACTACAAGAGCTCGCAGATCGCCACAGCGATAATCAGTATCCCCACACCGCCCGGCACTACACCCGAGGGGGGACATGAGCTACCCCTCCCCAACCAGTCCAGTACCAGCATGGAAGCCGCAAGCTGTAACATCGTGAAAGTGTCTGCCTTGTAAAATTAAAGCCTTGCCCAGCTCTCAGTCACCTCAAAGATCACATCGTCAAGCATGACACTGGCAACCGCATGGCAAGGGTGAGAGGGGAAATTGTGAATGAGACCAATCCCAGTGAAAGGGGGAGGGTGATCCGAAGTCACCGCGTTTGCGTCTCAAAGCAACGGCACAGTTTCAATCCAGTTTTATTATTTGTTTGTCTTTTATTTTCAATGAGAGGAACAACGGGGGGAAACTCGAGAGGACCAACGCCGGAGAGACTCAATGAGGGACATTTTGGGAGTTAACAAAAGGAACCAGCTCCGCACTGCGTCGTTTTTAAGTACTGTACCTAATTTAGGTGATGTTTAAAATGGATAATATTTATTCACAAATTGGAAATGTGAGAAGGTGAGCCTATTTGGGAAAAAAAGCAAGCAGGATTTTTTTTTTTCCCGTGTGGAAGAGTGACTTTAAAAAAGACACAAAAGACAAGAGATTTAGGATCCAGATGTTGTTGTAGTCCCCACTTTTTGACACGTTTCTCGTGTGCGTTACACGTGGAAAAGAAGACAGCTGTTAGCCCTGACGGCAGATAATTTGTCTGCTTATGGTCTGTAGTTACAATAAGAGCTTTCATTTCTGCTGTTTGATCCATGTGACATCTCAGTGTTCATTGCTGACAAGAAGCAGCATCGTGTGAACATGGTGTTTGTCAGTTTAAGTACAGTCTGTAGGTGTATTGTGAGCAGAAAACTGTACCCAGCAAATTAAGCCGTTCCATGCACTGATTTCTTCTCTCTTCCCAATACCATCTCGTTCACTCTCTCACTTACGTAGTGTGACTTTATTAGACTTAGTTCAGGAGAAACGGTTTCTGTATTTTGCAAAAAAAAAGTCTTCAGTGTGAATCAAAAACTTGCAGACTTGCTTTATTCCCAAAATGTTTTGCTTCCTCTTTCCAGGACTTTAGCTGAAATAAAGATGAAAAATGCTGGAAATGCTCAGCAGAACTGGCACCGTCTGCAGAAGAGAGAAACAAAGTTAACTTTTCAGAAGCAGAAAAAAGTTAGAGATGGAACAGGTTATAATCAAGCCAATGAAAAGGGAAGGGAAGGTAAAGTACAGAAGGGAATATCTATTATAGGATGAAAGACAGGATGAGGGATTAATGCCAGAAGGGATAATGGGACAAAGTGAAAGGAGATGGGAAAAGAACAACCAGAGAAACAGTGTCTTAAGTAGGTGTAAATGGCAACAGCAATTTATCAACAGCTGCTATCCAAGTAAGTGGAAGCAGAGATTGTAATCAGAAATCACTGAATTCATCCTTGAGTCCACAGGCTGTAAAGAGCCTAAACAAAGGATAAGCTGCTGTTCTTAAACTGAACATAGGAATTAATTGAAACAATGCAGGAGACCAAGGACAGAAAGATCAGATGGTCAGGCAATTTCAGAGCCAATGGCCGACTCACTAGCTAGCCCTTCCAATAGCACCCAAGCAATAGCAGCAAGAATTTACATTTATATTGCCCTTTTAGCACAGTAAAATGTCTCTAGATTTGGTCAAAGGATTTGCTTTAAGGAGAAGGTTGAATGGAGGTGTTTAGGGAGGGAATTTCAGGGGTCAGGCTTACAGGAAGGGAAGTAAAAGATAAGAAAATATTGGTTTGTGTTTAAATTGTGAATTCCCCAATTCATAACTCAAGGAGACAGGCTATGGGTCCCAGATGTCCACTACACTGTTATCAGTTCACCCTTACAGCAAGTTAGAACCCAAAGAAAAATCCATCTGAAAAATATGGAGAAATGTCTAACAAAGGGGACATGCAGCAGAACTGGGGAGAAGTCAACAATAAAATACCTTGCGTTCACATCATCAGAGCATCTCAATGCACTTTATAATCAATTAATTATTATTACAGTGTTAATCTCTGTACTAGGGGTGAAAAACAACAGCTAACTTTATACACAGCAAGGACCCAGTAACAGCAATGAAATACAATGCTGGGAGCACTGACTCCCCAGAGCCTGCCCACTATCTACAAGGCAGAAGGCAGGAGCGTGATGGAATACTCCCCACTTGCCTGGATGGCTGCAGCTCCAACAACATGACACCATCCAGGAGAAAGCAGCCCACTTCATTGGCATCACATCCACTTCCCCCACCACCAACTCTTAGAAATAGCAGTGTGTACCTTCTACAAGATGCACTGCAGAAATTCACCAAAGATCCTCAGACAGAATCTTCCAAACCCACAACATCTTCCATCTAGAAGGACAAGAGCAGCAGATACATGGGAACACCACCACCTTCAAGCCACTGACCATCTTGATGTTCCTTCACTGTCACTGGGTCACAATCCTGGAATTCCCTCCCTAAAGTCATTGTGGGTCAACCTACTTCAGCGGTTCAAGAAGGCAACTCACCACCAACTTCTCAAGGGTAATTAGGGCTGGGAAATAAATGTTGCCCCAGCTAGCAATGCCTACATCCAATGAATGAATGAATGATAAAAAAAAGCATGTTGGAAAATCCAGTACATACTGTTTTCAATTTTCCAACCATTCCCTTCAACAGCAACTTGTAGATAGTGCATGCCCTAATTCCCAACATCTTCCCTGAGATGTCTTCATGAACCAAGGCAACATAACATTTCGCCCATTCACCATTAACTTCCATGATGGTAGTGCTGCTCTCCATCATAATGTCGGTGGGAGCTCAGTTTGAACACTGGAGAGAAGATGGTGAATGATGCTCCTTGGGGTTTGCCCTGAGGTAAATGTCTGATGCTGGCAGACCTTCCATGTAAGTTGTACTATATTACAGAAACACAGAAGTGCTACGATGCAGAAGGAGACTATTTGGCCCATCCTGCCTTTCCCCCCTATACCTGGGCACCATTTCTATCCAATGCCCTTCTTGAATTCCTCAATTGAACCTGCCTCCACCACATTTCTAGGCTGTACATTCTAGACCTTAGTGACTTGCTGAGTGAAAAGATTTTTTCTTACATTACCCTTGCTTCATGTGCATGTTGCTAAAAATCTATACGCTTTTGTTATCATAGAGTCATCGAGATGTACAGCACAGAAACACACACTTCGGTCCAACTTGTCCATGCCGACCAGAAATCCTAAAATAATCTAGTCCCATTTGCCAGCATTTGTCCCATGACCCTCTAAACCCTTCCTATTCATGTAGCTATCCAGATGCCTTTTAAATGTTATAATTATACCAGCCTCTTCCACTTCCTCTGGCAACTTATTCCATACATATACCACTCCCTGAGTGAAAAATTTAACCCTTAAATCCCTTTTAAATCTTTCCCCTCTCATCTTAAACCTATGCCATCTAGTTTTGGATTCCACTACCCTGGGAAAAAGACCTTGGCTATTCTACCTATCCATGCCCTTCATCATTTTATAAACGTCTATAAGGTCACCCGTCAGCCTCCAAAGTTCTGGGGAAAATAGCCCCAGTCTATTCAGCTTCTTCCTACAGCTCAAACTCTCCAAACCTGGCAACATCCTTGTAAATCTTTTCTGCACCCTTTCGAGTTTAATAACATCTTTCCTTTAGCAGGGAGACGAGAATTGGCCAACAGTGGCCTAACCAAGGTCCTGTACAGCTGCAACATGACCTCACAGCCCCTATACTTAATGCACTGACCAATAAAGGCAGGCGTATCAAATGCCGTCTTCACTATCTTATCTAACTGTGACTCCACTTTCAAGTAACTATGAACCTGCACTCCAAGGTCTCTCTATTCAGCAACACACCCCAGGACCTTACCATTAAGTGTATAAGTCCTACCGTGATTTGCCTTCCCAAAATGCAACACCTCACATTTATCTAAATTAAACTCCATCTGCCACTCCTCAGCCCATTGGCCCACCTGATCAAATTTACAAGCACAGCTTCTTCCTGTCAACTCTGTCCAACCCACTCATGATTTTGCAAACCACAATCAGATCTCCTCTCAGCTCTCTTTTGCTGGAGAGGAATGGCAAAATGCAAGTCCCCTTTCTGTGGAACTTTGTCCAATAATGTTCTGAAATGCCCTGTTCAGACAATGGAGATCCCACTGCTCCTTGGAGTTAGCAAATTAAAGTCTGGGGTAAGTTCAGTTCCAGCCATGGACCACCCCAGGTCAGTAGGAAACCAGGAAGTACACTTCTCTGTCAGAAGTGAAACATTGCGAAGGGGAGGGTAATTAGTCTTAACTAATATAGCATTGTGAGATGATGGTCTAGTGGTATTATTGCTGGACTGTTAATCAAGAGACCCAGGTAATGTTCTGGGGTCCAGGGTTTGGAACTGGCCATGGCAGATGGTAGAATTTGAATTCAATAAAATATCTGGAATTAACAATTTAATGATGACCATGAATCAATTGTTGGGGGAAAGCCATCTGGTTAACTAATATCCTTTAGGGAAAGAAACTACCATCCTTACCTAGTCTGGTCTACATGTGGCTCCAAACCCACAGCAATGTTGACTCTGGGCAATAAACGCTGCCTAGCCAGTGACGCCTTCATCCTGTTAATGAATAAAGAATTAAAACTTAGGGACTTCAGTGTGACAAAAGTATTATCCTGATTATTACATCTCATGTATTAGGAATATCTTTGTTTATTCCCATATTTTATTGGAATGGTGGACATGATTATTTACTTTTGGACCAATAATGTAATGGGATTCACTGTGTATGAAACAGGATCACACCATCTCAGTGGTTCTCGATGTAGCGCCACCAACTGTCTTCCAATGCCCCACCAGACACTGACAATCTCATCCTCCACACCTGCCCCCAGCCAACCGCAATGAAACCAGGAATTAAAGGTTATTCTTCCATACACTGAGAGAGGATAATAACACAAATATCAGAGTTAGGGGAGCAGGGAGGTTCACTAAGTTACAATGAGGAATCATCAGTCTACATTTTACCCTCAGCATTTGGAATTGAATACTGGGACCATTTGAGGAACCTGAGCCTGTGCTATTTTCATTAGGGTGCATATCAACACAACCTCATGTGAGTTAGATTCCTGTGTTCACTATCTAACCAAGGTGTTCCCAAAGTAGGAGACCATGTGATATGGCCCAGTGCTGACCAGCCTCACTGGGAAGGGTAGGTGTTGCTGAGGTAAGAAAGTGAGTGTGAGGGCAGTCATAATGGAGGCACCATCAAAAAGCCAATTCAGTACAGCCCGCAGTTACTCTGTGTGGGGGGAAACTCTTCCACTGGAATGGTTTTGCCTGGGCTGTGGGTCTGGTGAATCACTCACTGGGCTAGTAAGATTCAACTCCTCCCCACCACACCCCCCCTCCCCATCACCGTACTGCTATGGGCTTCCAGGTTCAGTGGGGTGGGAGTTTGGAGTGAGTGGGTCTGACACTAGGAAAATGCAAACAAGTCCTGAAAATGAGCCCTAAAGTGGACGTTTGACACATGATTTTTCTGCGAGCCCTCCCCTTGGGAACTTGCCAGAAGGTGAGGAACACACATTCAACCAGAAACCTCACCATGGAAACCAGTCAGAAGGAAAAGCCAGTACTCATTAATTGTTTTGGGATTTGTTTGAGTTTTAAATAAATTGCAGGCAAATTAATAAAATGGCCTTCAGGACTCAGATCACCCATATTTTCAGATAAGTCATTGATCAGTATGATTTCTACCTTGTCTTCCCCAGACACTCTTTCTCCCTATTACCCACCACATCCTCTCCAGCCCACTCCCCTCCCTTTCCCCACCCACCCTCACTCACCCCTCATACCTGCTTCCATCTCCCACACACCCACTTCTCACCTC